ATTACTGTAATAGTACTGGATTTGAAATCTTTGAAAACAGATAGTCGTATTCTGACATCTTTATGTCTGTGTGTATCCATAGTGATGTCATTGTTGCTACTTGTCACCCGCAGCAAGGTAGCGAGTTCAAACAGTGGATATGGCATTGTTTATTTATCACGTCTTCTTATCTATATAAAAAAGAATTTAAAGAACCTGAAAATAATAAATGAGAATACGCGATCAGTATGGATGTTACTAAAATCCATAAAATCTGGTTACTGAATGTAGCAAGAGTGTAACATTTTTATTATTGTCTCATTCAGCATATGACTTCTTAATGACTTGATAGCAGAACATATTCAAACATATATCATGAAATCAAATGTTTAAATAAGCGTCAAATGGAAACTTAATAAATACAAAGTTATGATTTTCAAAGTAGGAACAATGAGAAAGAGTTATTTCAATTCCAAAAACAAAATATAAGTTGTGTCAATTCTTATATTTATTTAGGTATAACTTTACAATCAAATGGAAAATTCCAAGAAACAAGAAGATGTTTAACAGACAAAGCTACTAGACCAATGTATGCACTGTTAAAAGCAATGCCAAGTGAGACTGACTGTAGAACATTTATGCATCTTTTTCAGATATGTATTAAACCAATTTTACATTGGTTTACAAAAAAAACTAAACATGGTCTCCAATATTGCAAATATATAAAATTTAAAGACTCATACATTTTTGAACAATATTTGCTTTTATGTAATCTGAAACAAAAAATCATGATGACTCGTTTCAGAATAAGCAGTCATGTATTAGATATAAAGAAGGGTAGACATACCCAACCCAAAACACTTTTAGAAGACAAAATCTGTAAGCAATGTCCCTTGACCTTGTCAAGAAAAAAGGAGAGGCTACAAAATATTATAATAATAATAATAATAATAATAATAATAATAATAATAATAATAATAATAATAATAATAATAATAGGCAGTCAAAATTAATGCAGTTTGTGTTTTTCAAAACACACTTCAGATACTGTGTCACATGTCTAATTAGTTTAGGATGGTTAGTATTAATAAGGATAATGAACTTACTGATATTTTTGAAATCTCTACCAGAAAGTCACATCCTTTAAGATGCATTAAAAGAATCAGAAAAAAAAAACACAAACTGCATTAAATATGTAAAAAATATTCTTGATGAATGTGAACTTGGAAATGATGAAGAAACCTACAATGGTAAAAATAGAAAAAACCAACAAAGGAATTACAATCACAGCTGACAGATACATATAAAACAGACATGGAAAAATCAAATTGGGAATATCAAAGGCACAACTGGACGACGTAACAAATCAAAAACATATAGTATTTTTAAAAAAGAATTTGAAATGAAAAATTACCTGAAAATAATTACTAATTTTACTCAAAGGCAATGTCTGTCTAAATTTCGTTTGAGCGATCACAATTTAGGAATTGAACAAGCCATGCATGGCACAGTCCCCGTTAGTTATCAAATTTGAGATATATAGTTATGTTTATAGTAATATAGCTGGAATATAACCATGTCAGGAATATGATTTTTTTAACATTAAAATGATTGACATTTGTATCTGATCCTCAAACAAGTACTTGTCCATATTGAGAGATATTGCTCTGGAACAGCAT